CTATGATTGTAATTCACCTTTTTACACAACTGATGAAGCCTGCTGCGCTAGCACAACTTCTTGTTTATAAGGATTTCTAAGTGTCTTACTCAGCAGTTTGTCGATATCATGTACCAACATTTATAATCTGATACTAACGCCTCGTACGTGGAATGGTTTGTTTACAATCAACCAGGAGAGAGTGACAGCTTGAGCCAGGACAGGACAGCCACACGTGATTGAAGTCTCAGGTTCGTCTGACACGTCTCACAACTAGTAAGCTGTAAATGGTATACAAACACAGACAAGTGTGTGTGAAACGCATGCTGTATTTGGACATTTGTTGGGAGTTGTTTCGCCCACCAAGGACATTTTTATCTAATATAGTCTGGGGCTAATTGTGGGGCTACTTAATAGCTTTGTTTGCAATCGTGTCATTACGATTTCGTGAGTCAGCTTACTCCATGTAAATGTAAAGTGTAAACGCCAACAAATGATAAAACTACTAAATACTACGTTTCACTTATGGGGAGCCTTTACCAAATACATAGACAACATGAAGAGAATGCTTCTCGGCGATTGAAGTCGGGTGAAAGATCAATAAAGAGCATTAGAGGAGCACTGCAGCAGGTCTACTAACCTACGCTATGCTTAAGGATCCATTGTTCTAAGATTCGAGCAAGAAGTGTGGCCAAGGAGAGCGTGTCGACACACAGTCTGATCATGGTGTTGGATAATTTAAACTTTGTGGATTCCAAACAAAACGAGGGATGCAATGGGCATAATAAGAGAACACTATCAACATCCGTGGGCCCCGAATATTCAACATGCTACCAGCAGATATAAATATTGCCGCGACACTTATAGAAGTCTTCAGGAGGAAACTCGACAAGTACCTCCAAGTGGATACGAGTGCCAGCGGGCAGTCAGCAGCAACTGCCTGATTGACCAGGCAAGCATTAAACACGCCTGGTCCAGGACCTGCCTGTGGGGTAGACAAACTCTCGAAAATCGTCAAAGATATATTAAAGGTAAAGCAAAGGCAAAATAATTAACGCATTGAGACAACCTTGACTTGCCTCCTTTCAAGTCGTTTACATTTTTTCAAGGGGAGGGAAAATGGAAGGAGGAATAGAGAGCCAGATAAGGAAGGAAGGAGAGAGAATGAGAGTGGAAGGAGCTTAAGGAGGAGGGAGGGAGATAGAGAATATAGTAAAGAGAGAGCCATTAAGAACGCGGAAGGAGAGAAGCAAAAAGGAGGTTAAGGAGGGACCAAGGGAGGAATGATAAACAGGGGAAGGGAAGTGCGCCAGAAGAGGGAGGAAGGGTGCTAGAAAAGGAGGTATGCAGGAAGCCAGGGAAGGAGGAAGGGAGCAAGAGAGGGAGGGGAGGCGGGTTAGACAATTACGTGAGAGTACGAGGGAGACAATAGTGGGTCATTTGCATACTGGTGTTGACACTGAGTGTTTGTGCCAATATGGCCGCCACACGATACAGCCTCACCGCTAATTACGTCGCTGTCGTCTCCCTCTTGAAAAGTGATTGTCTCGCATACTCATTAACGCCTCCCTGATTGTCCTTTATTAAATACCACCTCTAGTTGTAGGTGCTGGGCGGGGAAGAGCCAGAGGGAGGTGTTTGTTAGGTGGAGGAGAGGAGGGGGAGGTGTTCCAGGCTTGAGAGAAGGAAGGAGTGAAAGGTGTGGCTGGGTGGAGTATAGAGAGGGAGGTGTTGCTGGGTGTTAGATGGGGTAGGTGGTTTTTGGGAGTGGAGGGGAAAGATTTGCGTTGACTCACGAAATCGTAATGACACGATTGCAAACAAACCATACCACGGGCGGGGATAGAACCCGCGATCAGAGAGTCTGGAGTTTTGAGACACTGATCGCGGGTTCTATCTCCACCCGTGGTATGGTTTGGGTAGACTGATGTGGGGTGGTGTTTATCGGCGGGGAGTCGACGGAGGGAAAAGCGTGGAGAGTTTTTATTAACAAAATCAGATAAACTTTAATATATTTTGTTTACATTTTATACCTCAGTCTAAAATTTTTTCACATCCTTATACTTGATGTATAGTTTTTAACATTATTAAAGGAAAACATACTCGCCTATTTGTGGTTGCAGGGGTCGATTCTGTATGGGGGAAGGGGGGGGGGTGAGGTCCGTCTCCACGTCTAGGCTGTACAGCTGGCTATGACTGTACAGCTGGCTATGACTGTACAGCTGGCTATGACTGTACAGCCAACACTCCGGACTGCCAAACTGGAGTTGGAGGGTGATTGACCAGGCTCTCAGTGGTGGGACTTCGGCAGGCTATCCCACGTCGGGGACCACAGTGAAGCTGATATCGCCCACCTCTCCCCATGGGAAGGTTCTAGATCCTGGAGCCTTGCTTTAGGTCCCAAGCCTTTCTCCATGACATGGATGAATTTTCGGACCCCTTCATTCAAGTTACAGCACCACAGTCATTTGCTTTCATATATATTTTATAATGAATTAGCGAATACACTGTATGATATACAGTCTGAAGTTACTTCAAACTGTTTTAAAACAAATTTTATTATATATTTTAACATTCAACATATAAGGTTATATATTCGTTAAAGAGGTAATATAGGGGATCGTGGGATATAATGTAAGGGCGATAGAGAGTAAGGAAGGAGACACAGGGAAGGGTAAACAGTGAAGTCATCACTTGACCATGTATGTGTACAGTGCCTCACCTGTTGCTGTTAAGCACTTACACTGCTTGCGAAACAGCCATTAGCTGAAGGGAGACAGGATAATTCACGCACCGCTCTCTCTCTCTCTCTCTCTCTCTCTCTCTATATATATATATATATATATATATATATATATATATTATATTATATATATATATATATATATATATATATTATATATTTATATATTTTTATATTTTATTTATATGTTACAAAATCGCAGACAGGCGATCTTAACAATGCAAGACAAGCCACGGGGGGGGGGGAAATATTTAGCTTAAGTACTTTCACACTTCTCAGTGCGTCATCAGGAGCTGTGCAATGTTGCAAAGACAGCAACAGGAAAAGTAGGGTAAGTTTTCAAAGAATGGTAATGTGGGGCGCTAACCAGTCTCTGAGAGAGACAAACGGGACGCCAACCACACACCGGTCCCCCACACACCCCACCCCATATGGGGTCGGGTGGAGTAGGCCTCACAGTTTGCAGATTGGAAAAATAGTAGATGGGTAATAGCCAGCCCTAAGCTTCTAACCGATGGGAACAGGCCAAGTGACATAAAAAGTTAAATTACAATAGTACATCACTACATACTATCACTTACAACCTTCTAACTAATGAAATAGAGGGAAAAATCACTCATTTGTCAACCGGTGTTGCAGAACCTTCCAAAATATTCAGGAAACACACTCAAGTGTCAGTTAATATGCCTGTGTGAATTCTCCTATTCAGGCCTCTTTTCTTTTAATAACTAGGCTATTCTTAATTTTAATGCCATTCCATTATAATATTACCAACAACCTAATTCATTAAACCACTAAACTAATTGCAATCACCATGTTGCAATTAGTTTAGTGGTTTAATGTACCTTGTACCATTGCACCTAGACGGGTTAGGACCTCAGTAGGTCACTCTACATTTTTTATGGGCTATCCAGGGATGATCGCACATGTGCCCCCATTCCTAATTGAACCTACATACCTCCTTCCTTACTACAGATGTTATACCGCTCAGGTTGCATCCTGTATTCCAGTACACTACCTGGAGCGCCTGTCACATTACAATACCTGTATGCAGCAGCAGCTGAGTGAGTTATACCGACGGCAGACCTAACATATTAAAATATCGACGTTCGTGACGGACATAACAAGGTGTCATGTATTATATCAACATACACGCGCGACGGGCATACCATGATGTTCAGTATGCAGACTGGTCGAACATAACCGAAACCTCACGAAATCTCCTGGCATAAGGAGCAATCCTTCGCTTTTGTATAAAATTGTTGTTTAAGGCTGTACACAATTGACTCCACTAAATAACTATCGAGTTTGTACAACCCATAATTTGAGTTATGTATGGCATTCCTATCATGTTTCAAAAGGGAGGACTATATTAAGTTTCTTTCTATGATGGAACTGTTGGGTACAATTATCTGGGCGGCAGCCCACCCCGGTGGGTGACTGCACAAGCTGACATGGTTAAGGATCACATTCGACACCTGGCCTGTACTAATTGAGTACTGGTATTGGGATAATCTGGTTTCCAGAGGTTTACCTGTCTGACCAATGTATGAGAGTGGGCAAAGGGTGCATGGGTCCTTGTAGACAGCACTGGCATTATTAGGTGGTGTGTTTTTAAACAATCTCTGTTTCACTGTCCCACTGTTTTTGAAAGTCAGATTTATATTGTTTCTTTAGTGCCTTCCGCAGGAAGACCAAATTGTCATTGTATGGCAAGACCAATACATTTTTTTCCTGTCAGGCATTTCCTTAGGTTCAGTACTGTAGAAAGTCTTCCTAGCTGACAGTAGGGACTTCTCAACGAAATCCATGAGATATCTCAGTTTTTTGGCTGTTTGGTGTACTAGCCTCACAAGCAGCATTTATATATTATTGCAACCACGAACGAGTGGTATTAATTGATAAGACTGCGAGTATCTGTGACTATGTTGCTTGTGAAGCTAGTACTAAACGGGGAGTAGAATGAAATTAGCTCAAAGGCACCCACACCACCGTATGTCCTCGGATGACGGTAAATGCCTAGCTCTGCTGGGTTCGTCATTCTTGTAGGATTGTGTGGTCCCGTGGATTAGAGCGTCATGTGTGATTTTCACTCACCATGAGGTGGGCCAAAAAGACATGGGTTCGAATCATACATACATACATATACATATATACAGTGTGTGTAGAGAGAGAGAAATTACGAAAGTGCTTGGAATTTCATGATTTTTTCATTGTTGTGTTGGATTGCGAATAGTACACACTAATATTCATTCTCTGTTGTGATTCTTTTCCACAGGTGTAAGGCTCCAGGTCGTTTCCTGGACAACCTGCCGGAGACATCAGTCATTGTGTGCTTCCACAATGAGGCATGGAGTGTGCTCCTCCGCACTGTGCACTCCATCCTCGACCGCTCCCCGCCACAGTTCCTCAAGGAGATCATCCTCGTCGATGACAACTCTGATATGCGTGAGTAGCAGATATACACCATGTTTTCACGAGCACATTAAACAATTCTGTACATACTATATCACCATTCTAATTTGGTACGCACGCGTATGCTCGCCTATTTGTGGTTGCAAGGGTCATATGTTACCATTTTTGTCATAGGCACTGTGTGTGTATTTTTTTATATATATATATATATATATATATATATATATATATATATATATATATATATATATATATATATATATATAAAATGTCGTGCCGAATAGGCAGAACTTGCGATCTTGGCTTAAATAGCAACGCTCATCTTGCCATATAGGACAAGTGAAAATTTGTGTATGCAATAATGTCGCCAAAATCATTCTGAACCTAACGAAAAAATATATTTCACTGTTTAGTATTAAATTATTGTAAACAAATCTAAAATATTTTTAGTAGGGTTAGGCTAAAATAAATTGCTCTTGTTATAATAAGGTTAGGTAAGTTTTCTAAGATTCTTTTGGTGCAAAATTAAATTTTTTTACATCAACATTAATGAAAAAAATATATCTTTAAACGTATAAGAGAAAATTTTAGAAAGGACTTAATTTTAAATGAGTTCTTGCTAATTGACCAGTTTTACATATTCGGCACGACATTATATATATATATATATTATATATATATATATATATATATATATATATATATATATATATATATATATATATATATATATATATATTAATTACTCCATCACTGTCTTGCCAGAGGCATGCTTACACTGCAATTATAAAACTACAACATTAACACCCCTCCTTCAGAGTGCAGACACTGTACTTCCTGTCTCCAGGACTTAAGTCCGGCCTGCCGGTTTCCCTGAATCTCTTCATAAATATTACCCTGCTTACACTCCAACAGCACGTCAAGTCTTAAAATCCATTTGTCTCCTGTCCATTCGCTCCTATCTAATATGTTCATGCATAATTGCTAGAAGTTCAGGCCCCTCCCACACAAAACCTTCGTTACTCCTTCCTTCCAACCTTTCCTAGGCCGACCGCTACCCAGCCTTCCCTCCACTACAGATTTATACACTCTTGAAGTCATTCTATTTTGTTCCCTCCTCTCTACATGTCCAAACGAACTCAGCTCCCCCCCCCTTCTTCATCCCTCTGGATAATAGTTTTCGTAATCCCACACCTCCTAATTTCCAAACTACGAATTCTCTGCATTATATTCACAGCGCACATTTCCCTCAGACACGACATCTCCACTGTCTCCAGCCTTCTCCTTGTTGTAGCATTCACCACCCATGCTTCTCATCCATGTAAGAGCGTTGGTATAACTGTACTCTCATACATTCCCCTCTTTACTTCCATGGACAAAGTTCTTTGTCTCCACAGACTCCTCAGTGCACTACTCGCCTTTTTCCCCTCGTCAGTTCTGTGATTCACCTCATCTTTCATAGACCCATCTGCTGACACGTCCACTCCTAAATATGTGAATACATTCACCTCCTCCATACTCTCCCTCCAATCTGATATTTAATCTATCGTTACCAAATTTTTTTTTGTTGTCTTTGTCTCATCATTCTTTCCTATATTCACTTTTAATTTTCTTTTACATACCCTACCAAACTCATCCACCAACCTCTGCAACTTATCTTCAGAATCTCCCAAAAGCACAGTGTCATCAGCAAAGAACAACTGTGACAACTCCCACTTTGTGTTAGATTCTTTATCTTTTAAGCCCACACCTCTTTGCGAACACCCAAGCAGTCACTTCTCTTACAACCCCATCTATAAATAAGTTGAACAACCATAGTGACATCACACATCCTTGCCTTAGGCCTACTTTTACTGGCAAATAATCTCCGTCTCCTGCATACTGTAACCTGAGCCTCATTATACTCGTATAAGCTTTTCACTGCTTTCAGTAACCTCCTATTCCATACATTTGCAAGATCTGTCACATTGCTTCCCTATCCACCCACCTCATTATCTATCCTTAAGGTCTCTTTTAGTATGTATATGCTTAGTTTTAATACCTTTTATTTGCGCATCAAGTTAGACTTGACTGGTGGTTAAAAAGTTACATGCTGCCATAATGACCCTTGTGTAGTTAACAGGCTTTTAACTTAATTTACCACCACGGAGAGGGTGGCTTGAGGCTACTATAGGGCTCTTGATCCAAGGAATTGGAACTTCCGTCCCCTTTTGATCAAACCTAATTCCCTCTCTGTCCCTTGCTAATGTATATATGAATATCAAAAGTAAAATAACCAACAAATATATGAATAAGACACATGTCATGTATCTCAATAATGAATTAGCAAATACACTAAATGACTTGATATACAGTATCGGAATTTACTTCCATTTGTTTTAAAACAAATATTTTTTATTAAATATTCACCTATGCTGGGAGCTTGGAAACAGCCATTATCTGATCCCAAACAAGCTGTGCTTGTGATAGCACTGAATACCTGGACAATGCACCATGCCTCTGCTGCAGAAGGTAAACTTGGTAGGAAGACGTTGATGTTAGCAGCTTAGCGGGTGTCTATAAACACGCCTTACCGCAGGTCTGGTGGGAAGGGAAGACTCTAGGTCCAAGCAAAACGCGGTAGGAAAGAAGCTAGGGCCAGGTCATGGAGAGGGAGGTGTGAGCAGGTTGCAAATCAGTAGCAGGTGAAGGAGGGATGACACAGAATGGCGTGTGCTGAGCTGCAGGTTAGCATGATGGTCAGACCGCCAAGCCCACTGGAAACCTGACTTAGCGGGGAACTTAATTGTTACAAGGTTGCATGCTTTCAGACGACCTCTAAGGGTTTAGCGTTTTCTCATATCACGAGTTTTATGTGGGGGCTCTAGTTGAGTGAGAGGAGCTGAGAGCAGTAACATGTGGGAGATCTAGTACACTAAGGAGAGCTGAGAACAGCAACATGTGGGAGCTTAGTTCACTGAGGGGAGTAGAAGACAGCTTACAGAGGATCCTGGTCTGGTGAGGGGTTTAGCGGGGAGCAAGAGGACGTCGCCTGAGGGGAGTTAGTCTAGGATTGGTTGGAGTGAGAGGGAGGGAGGGTGTGGGCAGAGCCAGGTCAAGAGGGTCTTTGGTTGGAGAGGAGTTATTGGGGGAGGGGTGAGGTAAGACACTGTCTACCTGTGGATTACGTGTAAGATCCAGAATGATTGTTGGTGGTGGTGTCATCAATTTTTCCTTTTCCTTCCTACCCCCTACTAGAACTATTACTGCTACTATGACTACTGCTGTTACTACTACAACGAATACTACTATCACTAAGACTAACAACTACTGATGACTACGACTACTGCTACTACTACCACTTCCACTATTACTACTACCTCCGCTACTATTATTATAACTACTGCCTCCGCTACTATTATTACTACTAATACCTCCGCTACTATTACTACGGTTACTATTATCGTAGTCGTCATACGGCACCAGAGGAATGGGAGGCAGTCAGGTTCGATACAAGGAGAGGGGAAGATAATTCCTAATTTAAGCCACTATCCCTCTTTGAGGGAATAATGTCCAGGAGGGTGAGAAATACACAAATGTAGTTATATGGAAGTTTTATTGCCTTTACACTGTAGCTTTCTTGATGTTTTTCCAACGCTGCTTCTTAAAGCCACAAACAGATGATTTGCTACCTAGGATCTAGATTACGTGGAACATAACCATAGTGTTGTGTGTGACTGTTCTGGGTCGCATTCTGACAGAACTCACTGAAAGTAAATCATACTGTTTAGCTTCATTTGGTTGTCCTAGGTTAAACCTAGAATAAACGTCTGTTCGTTCGGAGAAACAGAGATGGCTCTTGAGTCATTTGCGGGGAAGTGAGAGAAGTTACCATGGTTTGCAGTCGCTCTTCCTGAAGTGTGGGTGTTCCCTAGCTACTGATGGGGCTTTACCTCAATCTGAGTGGGATCGAGACCCTCATTTGGAGTTGGTTTGAGAACTCTTGGCCCGGGTGATGTGGCACAAGTGGCTGGGAAAGCGATGCACTGTATGTCTGTGTTTGTGTGTGATGTGTTTGTCAGAGTGTGTTTACTTTTTGCGGCTACAGGACAGAGCTTTGTGGTATCCCGTCTTCAGCGTTTAGCTTGTGGTGTAATTTGTCATGGTTATCCCTGCTTGAAGAATAAGTTACAATACAGTGGCTGGAACATTTCACAAATAATCCTCACTCTGAGAGGAAACTTTAGAAAGCAGACGTATTGGTTCGTCTTGCGCCATTTTCAAATCACAACTGACCGAGTAAATGATAATGGTCCAACAAGGACCGAGATGTCGTCTTTGGTTTCCTCTCTAGGTATGGGGCCACTGTTGTACTTCAGAACTAGGACCTGAAAACTATATTTTACAACACTAATAATTTTTTTAATAAATCCTTTTAGTATGTGATTGCCATTTCTTAAAGCATATGGGTAAGTTACTTAGAGTAACTACCATGTCACTTCTTGTAGTGGCTATCATGCTACCTCATATACTATGTGATTACTTCTCATAATATGTGGTTATCGCATATCTTCTTGCAAACTCTCTGAACTTCTTCAAAGGAGATGCGAGTTCATGCACCCCACTCCCATTCTCCCTTTCTCCTTCTCCAATCTCCCTCTTCCCTCCTCCACTCCTTCCCTTCCCTAACTTGGACCCGAGGATTCTTAAACAACAGAACAGCCTCAGTCGCATATAAAGGTGTTACTAGTACCACCTATGCACCATCAAACATTTCTTTCCACCTCCTTCCCTCCCTGTGCTCCACATGTCGCTAGTTAAATCTTACTGGACATTCTTCACATCGTCACCTTTAGCAACTTTGGTCTGACCCGCTCGGTTTTCCCCTCTTGTGTTAACACTCTAGTATGGTATGTTGTCCTCTTTGATCCCGTCACTTGTATTAACTGTCTCTGGTCTGATGTCCTGTCTACTCTTTCCTTTGCTTTCCAATATTGGCTGTCTCTGGTCTCCATTTCACATACTGCTAGTGTGTTCCAGCTTGTGTAACAAAC